TGAAATCTTGTATGGAGACTTGTCTTGTGCTTCGTCTTCATGGTTTATGATGAATTACTTGTTACCGCCAAGAGGGACAAGAAGTTTGTTATTGTTGATGCTTTGATTGGAAGCAAAGAAGGAAAGAATGATGTTCCCCTTATTCTTCCAACTCTGAACTAGTGATTCTTGAACCTGAGTACTGTGGAACAAAATGAGCTTACTTAATGCTTTGTCTCAATACTCGGATTGGAAAGGAAGAGTGTGAAACAATTTTGAAAACTGATGAGAAATACTCCACTCATTCCTACTACGACGAAAAACGATGCATGAATGGTCCTAGATTACGATCATAAACAATATAGTGCATTACTCGAAGACAAAGTTTGTGCAATGACTCAACATGTGTGATTAGGTGAGTTTATTAAGCTCGTGGTATGATCGTACGGCTAGACATGAGGACGTTGTGAAAAACAAAGGACCTAGTGACCAAATAGCACGGAAGACTAAAAGACAAACTAACTTGATTAATTTAGTCCAATTTTAATATTTATGGTCCATTGGCAATCGTTAGTCATAAATAAGATCAACCACAATCAAAGACAAAGAACACATGTTAAGGTTAGTACAAAAAATCACAAGAAATTAGGAAGAAGACAAGAATTCTAGAAGAGCTGGGAATCATGGATAAAAATAAATAAATTAAAATAAAAATCTATAATCCTATTTTATTTGAGTTGACACGTTTGAAAGGACTTGGCTAAGACTAGCTTGACACGAAAAGATGTATAAAAAAATATTAAAAAAAAAAGAACGTTGACGCTAAAAAGACACCTAAACTGGACAGGCTGTAGTATATCAGTTATAACTTTTGATCTGTGGCTTTGATTGGAACGAAACCAACTCCAAATGAAAGATAAAACTCGGGGCTACAGATCCATAGGTGGAAAGACACGTAACTCTTTCTAGAACTTCAACTATGACCAAAACAAGTTGACTCTTGTGCAGTACACGAGAATAAAAATCCAGGTTGACTCAAATTTTAATATATATATATATATATATATATATATATAATATATATATATATATATATATATATATATATATATATATATATATATATATATATATATATATATGAATGGATTCTAAAAAAATAAAAATGGTTTGATAAGAGAAAAAAATTAATTAAAAAAAAGTCAAAAAAATGCACATATAAACACATCGTCAAGCATGATGCAATGAAGTTTGCAACCTAAAGTCAAGATCTATGTTCCACTATGGTCAAGCTTTTGGGTGTCAAAGGGTAACATGGTTAAGATTTTGGACGCATTAGCAAGGCAGTCTCCCTTGAGGGTGTATGCCAACAACCGGCTTTGCGAGTTCGTGATGAAATCGAACTCGACTTCATGGTTTGGGTGGATTTAATAACACGGATGAACCCTTATTGCCTGAGCGTTTTCGGGTTGATAGAGCTTAAATCCACCGGGCTAGCCACATACGTATAACATGTACTATTGTGACAAAAAAGGTAACCTAAAAAGCATATGCATATGTGACAATGCTAATTAAATTGCAGGAATACAATTCAAGAATCTTTCAAGTCTCATCCACTTATCTTAATTAAATACCGATCACTCAAATCAATAAATAACCAAGAATCCTCCCCAGTGGAGTCGCCAAATTGTAGGCGTCGTTTGAAGTGCGCCTACGTTAAAGCATGTGGTGAATATGCTTGGCACTCATAGGAAGTGGGAATTAACATAATACGATTAGGGACAAGGAAAGTAAGGAGATGCCAACAAGTTTTTAAGGAGCTTGTAAACCGTTCATGGATCATAAAAGGCAACTACGAATAAAGGGACAACGAAAGGCAACAACAATTGACCCGTGAAGGTTACACCCCATTCATAATCTATGAGATTACTAACTCAATATGGTTCGGAATCACGAAAAGAGGATCAGGGATGATGGTATGAAGTGAGTTATGGAGTCATATTCGCCCGTATTGGCCTCTACTCAATTCTTTTTGAAAAGTAATTCCTATGATCTCAAAGGCGTGCAAACAAAGATTCAATTTGCTCTAAACTATTATTAGGCTAAATTTGTTAATTATTAATGCAACATATAATTCTAAAATATCGTGATCACTTGATTAAACAACAAAATTAAAAAGGAACCTAAATCGGTTGTCCAAATTATCATATTAGGCGTGATTTTCAATTACATATTCCCTTTAACATGCAATATTGTGATCAATAAATATAATAGAATAAACATTAATATTGGAAGCAATTTAACAATAATAACGTTAGTCAAATCAAATAATAAATTAACCTAATCATGATTCTAGCAATAATAAAAAAAAAGAGTAATTAAGTGATTAATTACTCACTTCCGCGTTTCCTTGAATTGCTATATCATGAATAAACTGTTAGTAACTTCAATTAAAATATAAATCAAATTTAAACAATTAAATTAAATAAAAAGTAGAGTTGATTTAGTCCAAACCCTCAGTTAATTATACCTTTCGCACCTTGGTTTAAGTATAGAACTTTGGGTATTGTATGGACTCCTTAGAGTGCTTAAAGGAAGGAATAATGAAAGAATGGAGAGGTTAGTGTTTAAGCTAAAGAGGGAGAAGAGAATGAAATTGTGATCAAAGTTATTGATGATTAAAAAAGGGGTGATATTACCTCTCTTTATAATGTAAAAGAAGGGTTGAAGAATTAAGATAAGATCCGAAATAAATCGGAATAAAACTCGATAGACAATAGTTTTTGTTGTTTTTGTTTTTATCATATATTTTGATCTAGAAACCAAAATAAGATAAATAATATGTCGTTGAAAAGATGTGGAAGTTTACATTCTTACACAATTAGAATCAGATTAAAATCCTTTGTGTAATAAAAGATATGGACAAAATAGTGGGACGGTGTCAGTTTTGGATAGAGTTTGATATTTCATTCATATCTTTTCCATTATAACTCGGAATTGATATTATAATATATCATTGGAAATATAATTTCAAGGGCTATCAAACCATCTAATATTTGGATAAAAACTATGAGGCAAGAAAATAATATCCATCTATCTTTAAACGTCTTTCAATTCGAATAGAAATAAGACTTTCAAAAAGAAAAGTTTCATTCAATTTCAAACTCTTTAATCTTATCTTTTCTAAAAGGATAATTAAGATATTTTAGAAACTTATAGAAGCTTTTAATTAACGCTAATTGGTTTCGGAATGGGATTAAAGCTTTTGGACCCTCCACATGATTACAGGGTCGTAGGTAAGGTGGGCTTAGATTCGGTTTAGACTCAGTTTAATATTTTGGTCATAACTTATTCGTTACAACTCGGATTTTGGCTTATAATATATCGTTGGAAAGCTCTTTTCAAGCCCCATCCAACTATTTAATAATTGTACCCAGATTATGGACCAAAATAAACTGCTTAAAACGTTTTTTATAAAAAGGACACTTTATAGAAAACTGCTTAAAGGTTGTTCATTATCGGGTTTGGTTTTGGGGAGACATCTTTAGGTGTATACAGTGTCAAATGGAGATTGGTCCAATTCGGATTAATCTGGGTCTGACATGTGTCACTACCTAGTTGGTATACATGGCTTGGGTAAAAGTTACCCAAAACACTTATCATTCACCATTTCTCCTCCTAATATTCCTAGACATCAATACAATACTTCAAGCTTTATCCGCGGTCCACGTTGTGAATTAATTAAACCTTAACGGTTTTTAACCTAACTTTAAATTACTTGAATTTAATTTTATTTATATTTTAATTGAAGATTACAAATGTTCCATTCATCATAATTAATGCAGTTAGAAAGGATTGCAATAAACTTGAATAGATTTTATTATGTTTTTTTGTTGTAGATGCGAAAAATGTACTTTTGAGATATTATATTATAGAAATTATATATTTGATAAATTTATGGGTGCAATTAGGTAGAATATAAATGGCTGCACATCAGGGCTGTTGAATATCTCTTACATATTACTAAAAGATAATCTAAGGGGATACTTGACAATGCATTATTAAAAAAATTTCCGTCAAAATTACTGTCTAAAAAAAATCATTGATGGGTCATGTTCACTTCACCTTAAAAAAATAATATTAAGTAATTTCAGTTCAGTAAAAATAAATTCAGTTCAGTAAAATTAAGCTCAATTCATTCAATTCAATAAAAATAAGTTCAATCTAGTAAAATTCAATATCTTTAAAGAAAAAATATAATAGAAAATGAGTAAAAAAATAATTTCAGTACTGCAAAAATAATTTCAATTCGGTAAAATTAATTTCAGTTTAGTAAATATAATTTCAGTTCAACAAATATAATTCTATTCAGGAAAAATAATTTAATTTTAGCAAAAATAATTTCCGTTCATCAAAAATAAGGCGAAGTTAACGGGCTCTTACATAGCGTATAAAAATAAAGTTTGCATCTACATTATGACTGAGGCCCCGTTCTCATCACCTTAATTTTGCTGAACTGAAATTATTTTTACTGAACTGAAATTATTTTTGCTGAACTTAAATTATTTTTACTGAAATTAAATTAATTTTACTGATCTGAAATTATTTTTCCTGAAGTGAAATTATTTTTACTGATTTTCTATTATAATTCTTCTTTAATAGGGTAATGTTATATGTAGCCCTAAGGGTGATATATAAGCATTAAATACACTATTGAAAATTGTATAAAATTAGGAATTCATGACAAAAACACGCGTGAATCAGTGTAATTAGTGTTTATATTTTGACGATTTCTTAACTTTTTACGATTTTTAAGAGTAAATTTGATGCTTATATGTAACCCTAAGGGTTATGTATAACATTTTCCTTTTTTTATATCTACTTCTTATATTGTTATTATAATTATTCAACAGCTATGTACATGCATAACCTAATTTTTATTTTTAAAAAATAAAATAAATCTTGAATCTATAACATGAAACTTGACGACTAAAAGTAATGCATGGCTTACTGTAAAAACTATTCGCTTAATATTTTAAAAATCTATTTAAAATAATTAATTCAGTGGCTTAGCAGTCACTCGTATCTACACCAAAGTACAAAACTTATGACTTTTCCTAATTCAAATTCAATAAGAAAAAAATAAAATAAAATGCTACAAATAGCCTTGGAATTATCCAACTTGAATTGAGCCATTGTTTTCTCCAAAGTCCATGGCATGTGTCGTTTAAAGTTGTGTGCTGAAATTGGACAACAACTATTACTTGGCCTTCAATAGATATGGACATCCTTGCACGGTTGCACATAGTGATTAAGTACTATCAAAATGACATCCTTGTGAACCTGCAAAAACAAGGGAAAAAAAAAATTCTTATGAAACAAAACAAGTAAATTGTTTTTATTGTGTCAAAGTAAAATTAAGATGTTCAAATTAACCTGTTTAATAATATAGAAAAAATAAATGATATTTTTTTTTTTCATGTCCGAGTTAAGCCTTAGGAAATTTAAATGTTGTTCTTGACTTCTTGTTTTAGAGTTTCATAACTAAAGTATAATAGTTTGAAAAATTATAAATCAAATATTAGCACGGACTTAAACTAGTGATTAAGGTTATAAGTATTATACTTTGATAACTTAAGGTGTAGATTTTGTTTGCTTAGTATTATTTTTCTATAATACGAAGAGAGAGCATATTAACATGTGTATTAAAACATTGCTCAATTGTAAAGTAAGGCCCTGTTCTCTTCACCTTAATAAAATAATATTAAGTAAAAATAATTTCAGTTCAGTAAAAATAAGTTCAGTTCAATAAAAATAAGTTCAGTTCAGTAAAAATAATTTCATTTCAATAAAAATAAGTTCAGTTCAGTAAAATTCAGTTTTCTTAAAGAAGAATTATAATAGAAATTCAGTAAAAATAATTTCAGTTCAGTAAAAATAATTTCAGTTCAGTAAAATTAAGTTCAGTTCAGTAAAAATAATTTTAGTCCAGCAAAATTAAGGTGAATCAAACAGGGCCTAATATTAAAAATAAATTAAAATTAATACTCTATTTATACGTACTCTGTACATTGTATGTTGTACCCATACAATTGTGTTAATAAACAACAAAAAAAGTTTGATAAAAACATAAACATACGGAGTATGATTTGTAAGAACGAGATTACGACATGATTGATTATTTGCAAATTCTGAAAAATAATATTTACTTCGTATATAAATATAATAAAAAAAAAATTAAAAAAAATTACTAAGTTAAGAATAAACTCACTTGGATTAACAGTGACAAGAATTGCAGTCCCTCCAAAAGAACATGTGGCTCCAGCAACTTTGGTCCTTTGCCAATAACTATTAAAGGCATAAGAAGCATGTGCTAGAAGTGTGTTAGGATGGTAACATTGGCCATTTGGTTGTATTGGGCCACAATCAGCCCCTGATCCACATGCATAGTTCATAGCCTCTTGGATAATTGGGTCCGGTACTGATGGTTTCGCGACACACCAAACACCACCACCCGACCCATGCCCACCACCACCACCGGGTGGTGATGGAAGTACCGTTGGTGGTGGATACACTACTGGTGGTTCGAAAACTGGTGGACTTGGTTCGAAAACTGGTGGGCTTGGTTCAAAGCCTATTGGAGATGGTACATTTTGTGGTGGGGTTGGAATGTCACCACTTGATGGGCTTGGAATGTCACCACTACTCGGTGGGCTTGGGATGTTACCACTTGATGGGCTTGGGATGTCACCACGACTTGGTGGGCTTGGTTCATAGTTAGGTGGGTTTGGTTCATTCTCCGGAGGTCCAGAAATGATGCTTGGTGGGCTAGGAGATAAGTCCGGCGTGGTAGGGGAAGGTAAGACATTAGTAGGACTAGAAGGAGGTGGGCTAGAAGGCGGTGTAGGGTTATAATCGACCGGGCTTGGAATAGTAGTGGAAGGGGTTTGTGGGTTGGGTGGTGGGTATACACAAAATGGTGGTGTATTACTATTTTCAGGTAATGATTCTGGAGCTAGATAATCATAAGGTGGTAAACTAAATGGGGAGCTTACATAAGGTTCAGCATTTGATGAATCTTTCACTGATACATCCAATAGCATATTCAAGTTTTTTGCCAAATCCAAAATTTTCAAGTGTTTCATATTTTGATTGTTAGGACTTGATAACATTTTAGAAAACATTACTGATTTCCTTGCATCTGTGAACACAAACAGATTCAAGTGAACCTACATTAGGAAATCAACAACATCAAATATAGCAAAAGATAAAACTTTTATACAAGAAATCGAACACTTACCACAATGTGTGAATAGAAGGACTACGAAAATGAGATAAACAAGCCTCATCATCGAAAACTTTGAACACTCAGATAGTATAGATGATCACTGATGTAAAATGGTCACTCATATGTAAACTAAAGTCGGTAGTGTAAAAGAGTATCCAGGATTATTATGAAGAACAACAAGAATATATAGAACGTATGTAAGGTCGTTTTGTCATAATATATAAAAGGATGATTTTGTACCCAGAACTATACAAGATGTGCAGATGAAGAAATGCTAAACATAAAACCTACTAGTATTTTAGTGTATGTTAGATTCTCTTAGCTACTGGAAAAAGAAAATATTGTGATTTATGCTGTAAATTTGTTAGGACTGTGTTGCATTGGTTTGTTGCATTGGCATATATGCTTAGCTTAAGACTAGCAAAAACAAGAAAAGTTTGTGTTTATGGCTCCTTTATTTTTTGCTTGCTTTCTACTCAAGATTGAAAAGTTCCCTTATAAAATGATGTAAGAAACATTTGAATTCTTTGTATTTGTTATTGGCAAGAAGCCAAGAATTAACAATACAAGCTGACTTGTAACTTTTGATAAAGTAGTTTCATGAAGTAGTGGAAGAAGATGATGATTTGGAATTAATATTTGTCTGAAGGTCATATATAGTTTGCCCTTTGCCGGGTTGTCCATTTGTGTCAAAGGCTAGTCAGTGAAGGAAGGCATCTCACCTTAGGCTATACTTCCCATCCTGAGACTCATGACACTTCTTTTAAATGTTTGTGTTAGATACCTGAGACTCGTGACACTTCTTTTAAATGTTCGTGTCAGTAAGACAACTCGCAAGTTACTCCATCTTGACACTGTTAAGACTTTACTCTAGATCGAAACGAGACAAGTCAATATTATAAATGGTCAATTAAGCACTTACGCCTCGCTTGGTTTATATCAAACCAAATGGGCCGTAATGAGATGAATTTTCGCCTAGCTAAATCTTATAAATCAAACTGGGTCTTAATGAACTTGAACTTGGCTTGAGCAAAGTTTGCTCCAAGTGCATCTTTGGTGCTTTTGGGTAATGTAGTTTGTTGGTTGTCTTTATTTTCTGTATTTTTTTTTATTAGTACTCTTTATCCCAAAAAAATAAAAATAAAAAAATGAGGCGTTAATGAGATGAATATTTTCTAGTTAATTCAAACAGTAGGACATAGTCAGATTTACAGATTAGCCACCTAACCTTTATAACCTTAGAATGATAACTGAAAAAATTTTCTACTTGATAAACAATGAGAAGTCCCTAACAAAAACTTGTAGAAACCAAGGATAAAATATCAAAAGAGGGTTTAAGATTATTTTTTTATTTTTTTGAAAAAAAAAGGTATTTTCTACTTCTTTTTCTAAGCTTTACAATTGTCTTTATTCACATAATTTTTACTAGTTTAAACTAAATTACCTAAACTTATTAAATACAGCCATTTAGAGACAAGAACAACTAACTGCCTTTTATTTTCTTTTTTTCTTTTTTTTTTAAAAAAATAAATAAAATTGGGTAACTCTTTTTAACCTTTACAATAGTAAAATATTTAAACTTAGGGTCTGTTCTCATTAACTGAACTCAGCTGAGCTGAAGTGAAATGAATTGAATATTTTATAAGAGAAGGAAATTAGGAGCTGAACTGAACTGAGCTTAGCTGAACTGAGCTGAAAATAAATGTATGAGAATAGACCCTTATTAAGAGATTGTTATATATACCCGGATACACGGTGCACCTAAGGGTATTGTTTGCTCATTTTGATAATTATTGCTTATTTAATCATCAAATGACCGATGTATAAAATTATTTTAGAACTTATTTTATTTTTCATTTCTAGAACTATTTTTATTTAAATTTTATTAACCTTTCAAATTATTCATCCAAAAATAAATATATGCTTATATACATGAATCAAGGGTACGTTTGACCCTTAATAAGGCGACCTATTATGATCAACTTAGGCCCAACCCGCTTTAACTCTTTATAAGGCGATCCTTTTATGTTTTGATCTGCATTCGACCCGCACCAACCAGCAGACTCAACCTACCCAATAACAAGATCTACATATAAACTAACTATCCATAACATTTAACAACAGAAATTTGCTCATGTATTAAGCCAATGTAATTTATGTCTGGTTTTGCCTTCTAAATTAATATAGCTCAAGCTGAACACAGCTAAATCAACCGAATAGTTTATGTACTGCTGCTCTAAGCTTAAGACGCCTTGCTACTGTGCTGCCCAAGCACGAGCCTCAACTACGAGGCTCCGATCAAATCATACTAACATATGAAAAGGACCAAAAGAACTTTCCATGAAACGTGATGATGAGGGCAACTTCGGGTCAAACACTCTCTGCCCCATCCTTGATAATCACGCTGATGAAGGGAGTAGCTATTATCCAAGAGAGAATATGGCTATGTCACTTACATTGGTGATTAAAATAGCACAGAATGTAATCATTACAGACTTTTTAGTGAGACTTCAGAATACAGATGCAAATGCTGCTTATCTTCCAGCTAAATGTTGCCAGAATGAATCAGCCTATTACGAGCAACTCAAAATGTGGATCCGTTGAATCCAAAAAAAGGTCGCTGCACCAAAATGCAAGTACCCTAAGTCAGCAACATATGCAATATGCAATATACAATCATAATGGTGTAATGGTGATGTTGGACTCCCAGAGTCGGACACATTCCTGTCTATCTGATCTGCCCTTCCAAGAGATTAAATTAGTCATGGACACATGTACAACAAACACTAATCCCAAACAAACTCATATAAAGATCAAAGCAGCCATCAAACAACCGAGCAAGAGGTGAAAAAATTCTAGGCATAAAGGAAACAAAACAATTATTTAATCACCTTATTAATTTTACCAGAAATTTTTGGAATTTTGTGAATCTAGCATTGTCAGCTAAACAATGGACAAGGATGGCTTTGGAAGCAGTCCAGCAGGTATGAGACAGTAAGATCAATACAGATATCAACTCAAAGAGGAAAGATTGAATTGGTTTCAACTTAAAATATCTTGTTGACATGAAAAACCTGTTCCTTTTATCTTGTCAGGTTTCAAATACCATAACGACAGAAACAGAAGCAGAAGTTTGGATAATATACACAGGTTATTATTATGGTCAACTAAATGGTGTACTCCAAAATTGGCACTAGTTACTATAATTCATCTAGTACATGCGTGAATTGCAAGCTAAATGTTTAATTGAGAAAAGGGAAACGAAAGAAGCTTAAAACTTCTGTGGATTCTGTTTACAGAAATACAAGTACAATAACTTAACAGATTGAATAATACATCTTCCACCCCCAAATGTTATTCATATTTTCTGCTTTCATTTATTCTAGAAAGGGTGAAGAATTCTAATTCATATTTAACCACTAAACTACTCCAAAACAAAGGATGAAAAATATTTACGAATATAACTTTTCACTGTAACTCTTTACATTTGAGTCTAAATGTTGTGTGACTACCTCTATCCCTTCGCAGTTCGCACAGTCTCTCTTTTTTGTATATCAGTAAACATTCTATTTTCAGCATTTCCTACTAACTACTCCGTATTGATTTGTCCATGTCCCCCTCTCATACTGCTTTATATATACTTCCTATAAATTATCTGCTTTTCAATTTATACTACATCAATATTTACACAAAACAACAACAACAAAACCTTAGTCCCATAATGATTTAGGGTCGGCTATCATGAATCGTATAAGGAACCATATGATATAAAAAGGAACATAATATTTACACAATACTAAATCAATAAATAGATACATAACTAACATAAGTAGTAATAGTAGTAATTTCTGTTAGTACTACTAAACCATCATAATTTGATTCATTGCTAATCTTCCATTTCAAAGCATATCCCTTTTCTAATTGGATTTCAAGAATATTTCAAGTAAGGTTATGGCTAATTGTATTTGGAACTTCCAAAAACACATCCAATCAAAACATCTAAACTTGGATGACGTTACCTTGCGGCCATCAGTATGATCAACTATGTTATTAATCTTGGGAATTGGTTTCAAACACTGCTGTAAATTAACCAAAATTTATATATTTTATAGTTTGTTGTGAAAAGTCTGAATGCCCATACCATGTTTGAGTATCAAGGATCCGAAGACAGGGTACTTGAGGTATAATGAAAAGCCCGTATAACATAGAATACCAATTATCACGCCCACATAGGTGCATCACATGAGCCAATCTTGATTTTTTTCAATACTTGTATTTGGAGGTAACACATTATTTTTATGGGAAATTCTCAACGGTGACCCCCAACTTTTGCTACGCACCAATGATGACCTCCCTAATTTTGTTTTATACAAAATGACCTTTATTATAAAATTTATCTCACTTATGACATTAATAAGTATTATTGAGTTAAAAAAAAAACTAACTATGGTTAATTTTGAAAAAAAAAAAAAAAAAAAAACCTAAAAAGAAAAACCACTAACCTAGCCACCACCTCCACCCTCATCCCCACCACGTAGCCAGGCCAGCAACACCTCCACCCTAACCGGAGCCACCGAACCCCTCATCTAAAACGCCGACCTCCCACCAAACCGCCGAACCATCGCCCCCACCCTTTCCACCGCCTAGATTTGAACCCTAACCTCAAAACTTTCCATCCTCTGACCTTCGATTCTCGCCGTGGGGTTGGTTTTGGTCGAGGAGGGGTGGTGGGTTTAGGGTTTGAGGTTTCTAGTCTGGGCGGGGATCGAAGAGAGATCGGTGAAGGAGAAGGCAGAGAAGAATGAGATATAGATCGATCGGTGGTCGAATTTGGGTAAATTGATAGTCTGGGGATGGTCGGAGTTTTGGAGTTCAGGCGATTTAGAGGTGGTGACGGTGAGAAGGAGGAGAGAGAGTGAGGGTTGTGGGCGGGGATTTAAGAATCGAACCTTGGCGGTGGTCGATGTAGAACTGGCGCAACATCACCGGAGGTCCGGGATAGCTTGAGTAGCATCAGTGGCGGTCAGAGAAACCTAGGGTAGCGTCGCCAGAAAGGGTAATGGTGGCTGGCTGGTTTTTGGTGGTTGGGGTAAATTTTTTTAATTTTTCTTTTTCTTTTTCTTTTTTAAATATAAATCTAACCATAGTTAATATTTAATGAAATAAGGTTATGAGTGAGATGAAATTTTTAACTAAGGTCATTTTGTACGATTAAAAAAAAGGGAAGGTCATCATTAATGCGTAGCAAAAGGTGGGGGTTACCGTTTGAGAATTTTCCTATTTTATTAATAACTCAAAACTCCATTCATTATGAACTCAAATAACACAATCAAACAAATGAGATTGTAACACAAATTATACCCTAATAACATAACACAAATTCACAACCAAACAAATGACACCCAAATAATATCCTCAAGCAAATGACACCCATAACATCCCATTCAATCAATCGATTTAGTTGTCGCATTACTAGTTCAAACTCACAGTTATAAAAAAAATGTTCAAAGTTATGCATAGCATTAAAAGTGTATAAAAAAATACATGTAGATTGTTACCTGAGCTTCATAAAATTTGATGTAGAATCTAGAACTATCAATAAAAAGCTTAGTTTGGAGTATTTCAGCAATAATTGAACTTAATTTCCCATTAACAGCAGGGCCAAGTCCTCCAATTGAGATCAATTCTCCATATGCAGCAGCTTCTTCCGTTCCCGAAAAAGCAATCGGTACTCCTCCGTTTATCAACACCATCACATACTTCAATCACAATAAATTAAATAGTCACGTGGACAATATAATTTGAACTAGTAACGCCTAAAGAAAATGGAGAGAGAGAAATTACAGATTCGGGTTTGCCAATGGTTTTAGCAACAGCTTTGGTGGCATCCTTGAGAATATCTGAAGCGATAACGGCATCAACTGGGACATTTGTGAACAAATTTAAGGTAGGCATGTTCTGGTCTAACTACCGGGGATATTTGAACGTCTAAATGCAAATCAGCAAATGCACTGGCTCAACAGATAATGTGTTAGCTAAATTTATGGTCCCGAATTGCCCTTACGGCCCCGTGTAGATATGGTAGGTGTCTAGGTGAGTATAAATTACGGGTTCTGCATCGCTTCCAACCTAGTTGGGTCAAGATTATGTTTGAGGTTGAGGAATACGTATCCTTAAACTGATGGTTGTGGATCGAGAATATGACTTAGGGTCTGTTCTCTTACGTTGAAATTCAGTTCAATTCAATTCAATTCAGCTTCTAATTTCCTTCTCTTATAAAATATTTAGTTCAGTTCAGTTCAGCTCAGCTCAGTTCAGTTCAGTTTAGTTTAGTTCAGTTCAGTTCAGTTTAGTTCAACTCAGTTCAGCTCAGCTGAGTTCAGTCAATGAGAATAGACCCTTATACTCAATCTCAGCCCCCAATAGTTATTAGGTGTCTATAATATGAGCATTTGGTAAAAAAATATGAACACTTACAAAATAAACATTTAGTAAAAAAATTAATACCTAAAAAAAAAGTTAATTTTTAAATTACCACCCAAAAATGTATCCATTTTCAAAATAACCACCCGTTAAATTTTTATTTTTAATTTTATCACCCCTTAAATTCAAAAACTACTCATATTACCACCCATTTTAAAATTTCGGTGGATTTCTCTTATGTGGGCCCCACCTAACGACTCTTAGTGGTAACAGGAAGAAGATGATCAGTAGTAGTGGCAATTCAGATAACAAGCTCTTGTATTTTTACTTGTTTTCTTTTAGTTTTAGGTTGTCTTGTACTTAATAAACTAGTTTAAAGGGGAGGTGGAGTTAAGACATGGTTGATTGTAATGCTTAGACATAGCCGTTACTAGCCATTGGGTAGGTCCACATGCAAGAAATCCACCAGAATTTTGCAATGGGTGGTATTTTGAGTAGTTTTCTAATTTAAGAGGTGATAAAATAAAATAAAAAATTAAACGGGTGGTTATTTTAAAAATGGATACATTTTTGGGTGATAATTTTAAAATTTTCCTAAAAAAAATAAACATTTAGTACTCCTTCCGTATTAAATACTTGCGCAACTTTTCTTTTGTCGCCGTTTTTAAATACTTGCTCAATTTCTTTATTTCAAAAGATTTTATAATATTTAATTTATTTCTCTCAATTAGCGGGACCCAATTTTATTTTCTCGTCTCCAATTTTTCTTCCAATAACCCCACTATCTCACGCATGGAGAAATAGAGCAAGTATTTAAAAACAGAGGGAGTAATATAATATGAACAAGTCATAAAAAGATCATTTAATAATATACTACCTTCGGTCCAAATTACTCGCAACTTTGGAATATTTTATATCTCACAAATAATACTCCAAAGTTGCGAGTAATTTGGACTAGAGGTAGTAATATGTGTTTTGGGTGTTTTTGTGTCCCTTGAGAGTTACAACTTGAAGACTAGATCCAACAAAGCTGCCTATACCTGCAAAACACCGGGACTCCAAATGTTCGGAGGTTTGCCTCCAAAAGTTAAGTTAGTACGGGTTTGGAATAATAACGTGCGGAAAGTAAAAATGTTCTCGAATTCCGGGATAAGGTGTTCTCTGTTTTCGAGAGTAATAAATGATATAATGATTAGAACGTCTCCCAATAAATGGGGGAATCTCCCTGTTTAAAGGGTCATAGAAAGGTCTGCCATGTCCTAGGGATTGACAACTTAGGATTTAGGGCTGCGCCGTTGTAGGCGTCGTTTGAAGTGCGCCTACGTTAAAGCATGTGATGAATATTCTTGACACTCATAGGAAGTGGAATTGACATATACGATTAGGGACAAGGAAAGTAGGGAGCTGCCAACAAGTTTTTAAGGGACTTGTAAACCGTTCACGGATCATAAAAGGCAACCACCAATAAGGGACAACGATAAGCAACAACGATTGACCCGTGAAGGTTACACCGCATTCATAATCCATGAGATTACTAAATCCGTATGGTTCGGAACCACAAAAGGAGGATTGGGGATGATGGTACGAAGTGAGTCATGAAGTCATATTCGCCCAGGCCATATTGGCCTCTAAGCGATTCTTATTGTGAAAAGTGATTCCTGCGATCTCAAAGGCATGCAAACAAATATTCAATTTGCTCCAAACTATTATTATGCTAAATTGGTTGAATATAATGCAACATATAATTCTAAAATATTGTGAGCACTTCAATTATCAACAAGATTAAAAGGAACCTAAGCCGGTCGTCCAAAATATCTTATTAGGCGTGATTTTCAATTAGATATTCCCTTTAAACATGCAATATGGTGATCAACAAATATAGTAAAAATCAACATTAGTATTGGAAGCAATTAAACAATAATATCATTAGTCAAATCAAATAATAAATAAACCTAATCATGATACTAGCAATATTAAAACAAAATAAGTACTTAAATTAATTAATTTTTCACATGTCGCACGCTCCTTTAAATTGCTGATCATGAATAAATTGTTAGTAACTTCAATAAAAAATATAAATCAAATGGAAATTAAATTAAATAAATGTAGAAAACCCTTAGTTATTTGTACTTTTCACACCTTATTTAAGGACTGAACCTTAGGTCGAGTATGGACTCCTTGGGGTGCTTAAGGGAAGAATGGTGTAATTAGGAATATAGGTTTAAGGCTTAGAGTATGAGAGAGAGATGAGAATGATTTTTGGTGTAAAAGAGATGAAGAGAAAATGATTTTTGTGCTCCCGAACGGTAGAAAGGAAGGGGTATTTATAGGGAAAATGAGTAGAGGGAACACACGGAACCCTAAAAAGGATAAAAACCCTAATTTTGGGCATCGTGACACGGCCAGTGTCTGCCGTGACAAGGTAAGAGGGTGCCGCGACACGGTACAGATTGTTGTGTCGTGGTGCATTATTTTACCCTAAAATGTTAAAGCGCGTGCAATTGTGTATGCGAAGGGAACACGGAAAAATCCTGTGTCACGAACTGTGACAAGGAAAAGGATGCAGCGACGCGGTAATGTCCACCGTAGCGCGGCAAGCAGTGCCGTGTCACATTGTACATTTTTTGTCAAAATTTGTGTCTAGGTTCTTAAGCATGGGGAAAGAAATGCGGAAAAGACACGGGAAAGCACCGTGACACGATGAAAAATACCATTGCACGGGGCACGGTACTAGGCCCGTGCAACGTCATCATCCCCCGCGATGCGGCAATTTAGCTAATGTGCGGCATTTCCAGTTTTTTACGTGTTTTTAAAACTATGATAACTTTTGATCCGTAACTCGGAATAAGACATATAATATATCATTGGAAATCTTATCAAGTCTAATTTCTAACCCAATTATAATCATGTCAAATTAATTTATATATTTTATGATATGGATGTTTTAGTGAAAGGGTGTCGGTTTTTGGTCGAGTTTAGTATTTTGCTCACATCGTCTTCGTTTTAAATCGGAATTGGGCTTATGATATATTGTTGGAAAGCTTATTTCAAGGCCTATACAACCAAATAATAATTGGATCAAAATTATAGGGCCAGAAAATCAGTTTCTCTTGGTTTTGTGATGTGGATACGGAAAGTGGAAAGTAAGTTATGGTTTAAGGAAATGAGCTATAAATTGGATTGGTTTATGAAATGCATTGAATGGAAACATGGATTTAAGCACTCCAAAGATTACATACTCAACCTGACCAATAATGGCGGTGAAATGTTATTCATCATCGGGTTTGGTTTTGGGGAAACATTTTTAGGTGTCTATAGAAGCCCCCACTTTGACTGAGTTTGTAGAAACGTCAGTTTCGAAAACGATAGTCAAAGTAGTCGATAGGGACGAAGAATGATTTAAGATGTTTTACGATCCTAAATCACTATGTATACACCGATACCTTTAAAAAAATGTTAGCTCCACATATAAAAGAGTTAAGGTATAGAAAGCGTATCTGACACTAGTGTATCGGTGGCAAATAAATTTGGTAGTTTTCTATGCTTGAAGAAATCTACAGGATGATGTTTGTTGAGATACTTTCCATGCTTGAGGAAAGTCGACAGAGGAATTTGGCAATTTTCTATGCTTGAAGAAATCCATCGGTTGAGATACTTTCCATGCTTGAGAAAAGTCGACAGATGAACTGATGGTTTTCTATGCTTGAATAAATCCACCGGTTGAGATACTTTCCATGCTTGAGGAAAGTCGTCAGATGATAAAATTGCTGACTTCTTTGTCCTGAGAGGTGGCTGACGAGGGTTAAATCGGTCGCTACAATCTAACTCTCAATCAAACAATACTTATACGAACACCCTATAACCAAGTACAATGGCAAATAAAGGTTCGGTCCACGAGGAACGAGAGTAATTGCAAATCAATCTTAAACCTAAGCTAGTTCGAAATCAATGGAAAATGGTGTTCTAAAATACTACTAATAAGATGGAATAAATCAATAAACTAAGACACTAGGGAGAACGGGAATCCGTCTAACCATTGGTAACTAAGCAACAAGGAATCACAGAGACAAACGGGATATGCAAAAACTATAAGTCTGATCAATATCATGTGATAGGAAGACAACGGGAAATACTAAGCTTGGATTTCTCATGCACTTAACATTACTCGATACATAATCAAACCACATTCAATAATGAAATACTCAATTCACAATCTCTTGTTCAAATCAAGAATATCATGCAATCAAATTCAAGATTCTAGGTTAGCTACTCCTATTATAATGAATTAACATGCAATCGCATATAATCAATTTAATCACAATCCGTTTATCAAAATCAATCCTCAATTACATAGATTACCTAGGCCGGGTTTCATCCCGAAACCCTAGCTAGGAGACTACTCACACATATTCATAATCAAAGCAATAATGAATTCCAAAAGCATAATAGATATAAACATGAATTCTGATTAAGGAATAATAAAGCTTGATTAATAAACAAGAATGAATAATACCAATTGTATTGATGCGAATCAATGGAAAAGTTCAGAACTTTGATATCCGTCGTCAATGAATAATACAAAGAATCTTCGCAAATCTTGCTTCAAATCAATCCAAGAAAACTAAAATCTCCAGAATAATCTCTAAGCAAACAAATGAATCTCTA